CATAGGGTAGCATTTTATATCTCATAAATTTTAAACATCTATTCATTTTTCTTTATTTTAACGCATTATATTACATTATATTATGTATATAATGAAAACTAATAATGATATAATAATTAAGAATATAAAGATAAGAAGTAAAAGACAAAGAATATGAAAAGATAAAATTAGAACTCACCATATTAATAAAATGAAATTAAAAAGATAAAGAGAAGAATATAATATATTGGTATAGAGAAAAGTGAGGGTTTATATATAAGTGAGTAGGAAAATGAAAGGACATTGTACATAAAGAAATAAAAAAGAAATAAAATCTAGTAAAAATAATCAATAAGAAAAATTAACCATTTACCTTTGATAATAGAGTGACTTGATAATAGATCTAATGAATTATAAGCGAAAAAAAAAAGTTAAGAACTTTTATGAACAAATAGAATCTAGTAGAAATAATCAAGAGTATAAGTTGGGCCAAAAAGATCAAGAGAATAAAAATTAGGTACCATTGCAAACATGATTGATTTGTTAATATATTCCATGAATTATAAATATTTAATCAATAATAATAACAAAAAACTTTGTTAGGAATTTTAGTTAAGAAACAATCAAGAGGAAATTTTTTTTTTTTTACAATGAGTGGTGCTTAAGTAGTAATTAATTTGGAGGTTATAAGTCTAGACACTCTTAACAAATCATTTATAAGATGTTCATGTACCAAACCATGTGTATCCCTCCCCTTTCTAAATGGTAAAATCCCAAAGCCATATAATATGGATTGTAGTGCGCTTCCTTGAAAATGTGATGCATCTCACATTGCCATTCTCATTGCATAAAACCCTTGCACTTGCATATTTGATTGGTTAGCATACTCCTTATTTCTTTTTAGTTTTATCAATATTGCCTTGAAAGGAAGTCAATGGACTATATATAGTAGGAAGAGAATTTCAAGAGATAGGTAATAATATTAGGAAATTAATGATAATAATGAGAATATTTTATGAGAGGAAGATTTAAATATATTTATTATCTAGTGAGTTTTTTATGAAAGGGAAAATCAAAAGCTATGTCTCTTTCTCTTCTTGTGATTTAATGTATATGTAACGGAAAGTAGTAATGAACATATTAATTTAATATCCATCAAAAAATTAGAGAAATTATTTTACTACATATTTATTTATTAATTAGGGATATATAGCAAGTTTAACCAACTCATTA